GTTTGTGACGCTAGGTGTAACTGTATTTGTACAAAGATGACCACAGCCTTATGAAATGAACTTTCCTTAGAGTCAGAACTGGATTTGCTGTCCCGTTAGAATTCTTCCAACTCTTTTTTGAATAGCTTTACCCTAGGATTCAAGCTTCATTCTTTATAATGAAGAATTAAGTACTTTCCATATCAAACTCAAATTCTTGAGCCAGCAGTTCTTCAAGGGAAAGGGAGCAGAGGACTGCAGATGTACGTACAGGTCACTTGCCTGAAAGAAAAGCTTTTTTTTTTTATGCCCAGTTTTTGTTGTGTTGGTCTTGTGCTAGGCGCGTGTGGGCTTTTGTTTTCTGGCTTTTTTTCTCACCTGTGTGACATGACAGTGGGAAGGTGGTTGTGGCCTTTGATTCCTTCTTAACAATCTAGAGCAAAAAAAAGTGCAGGTGATAGTTACACGTGGGACTTCGTTGGTTTCATACTACATCGCTGTGCAACCCTGACATTGTTCTTCCTGTGGTGAGCTGACTTTGCTTAAGATGGCATCACTGATTACTTCCTCTCCTCCTGCTGAGTTTTCTTTTCAGAAATTGGAAGATACAAAATCTGTGCTTTGCCTGGATTCTTCTCTTGGCTTTGATCCTGTTGGAAGGATGGGTGCAGTCGTGATAATTTCTCTGCCTGCTGGGCCCTGCATGTTCTAAGCTAGCAATGAGCAGGCTGTGAACGTTTAGTATGCGATACTTGGTACCGTCTCTGCCGAGACTCGCAAGTTGTGTGAGGAGAGCTTAGACTCTGCTTCCAGGAATGTTTCACGAAGGTCCTGGAGTCTGTGGAAGTGTACTCTAAAATGCTTGCAGGGGACAAGCCGGGCTGTCAGACTTAGCTCTACGCTGCTCGTCTGCTCTCCTGTCCTGAGGTAAGAGTTGTGCCCATGTTGGCTTCCAGCCTAAGAGAAGGGACGCAGGTGTAGTTCTGGCAAAAAGCGTTCAAAGCCTTCTGCGGCGCTGTAGCTGGCTGGGGAGCAGGACCTGGTGCTCCTCCTGGCGTTTATTGTCGTCTTGAGGTGGAAACTTGAATAAGGCCATTTGTTGTTGAATCAATGTGTGTCAGAGCTTGAACTGAAGAGAACGTTAAAAGGTGGACGAGCACCAGTGTTGTGGTAGCATGTCCAGTCTGGGTAAACTGTGGAAACGGTGCCACAGAGTAAAGAGCAGGGCAGGGGTTGGCAGTGGTCAAGTGATCGGACTGCTGTTTAAATCAGGTCAAGAAAAGAAACAATGGGTCCCTGTACAATTTTACACAAATTCTATAAACTTAAGAAATGGGACATCTAGGCCTGCATGAAGGTAAAAGCACGGTAGATGCTTTAGAAAGTTTTTGGAAGGAAGATGATGAGTGGGATGCTGCGATACCTGTGTGCAACAGGTACAGAAAGGATACTGGACAGCTCTATACTTAAAGCAACAACAAAAAAACCTTGTAGTCAAATCGTATTTCTTGTTGAGCAGATTAATTTGTTACTACAGGATTCCCGTGGAGTGGATTCAAGGCTTGTTTTGAGGAGTGGGAGTTATTGGCACTGTGTTACTACTTACCGATGGCGCTGGTGACAGGCACTGCCCTGCACAGGGTGTTTGGTGTACCTGCGAGGGCATGAAACGCGGCAGTAGCAGGAAACTTGACTAAACTATATAGCAGTGCAACCAGATACAGTACATGCCATCTTTGTCCCTTTGCGATTCACCGTGAGCTTGTCTGGAGCAGGCTTTAGAGCTTTCCCAACAGTTGTAAATCGAATGTGACTTGAAACACCAGGTGGATATTTTGGAGCTACAGGGTTTATTAGTGTGTTTATTAGTTTTGCAGACTAATGCCAGCGATGTACTATATAATAAATCAAAAAGGAGATGTCTGGTTATGTCCCCTCTGACTTTAAGCCACCAAGGTCTTGGTGTCCTCAACACAGGTGATTGAACTAGCTTATGGGATCAGCAGTGAACCTGTAGACATCCTGAGGATGGGCAAAATAGCCAGTCGTTCAGCTGCTGTGAGATTTGGGACGGATAATCTCTCAGTGCGGTGCTGCTCTCAAGGACAGAGGATTTATTTGCCAAACATAGTGCAGGCTGCACCTGGATTGCATCGTTGCGTGGGGCTAAATATTAAGTGCTACTGGTTGAATTCATTGTAAGTGGGGAAATGAGTGGAGTACCTGTTCACGCACTGCCAGTTTCAGTGCTGAAAAGCTTGACGTGTCTATTTTTCTTCTGCACAGACTCATTTTGTTGTAACGCCTATGTGCCTTCTTCCAAGGAAGAGCCTTAATGCTGCTCGGGTGTTTTCTATGCACTTGCTCTCTTGATTCCAAATTGTTTTGGGCCTTGGTATCTCCCTTGTAATACTTGTGTTGCTTTCCCCTTGAATCAGTATTGGCTTTTGAACACTCATCTCGGATGAACCCCAGCATCCCTGGATGGGAGGCATGTATTCTAATTCAAGGCAAGGCATGAACATAAAATTTCTCTTTGGAAAATGAAGAGCTTTCTGAACTCTTACTGGGTGGAAAACTGAAAGTGCTGTGAAGATGGTCTGTATGGCCACAGTACTCTCAAGGGAGAAAGGAAGATTTGAGCCTTGGTGGCTCAACCAATTTACAAATCTTCCTTTTAAAAAACTGGGCCTGAAAACACCGAAATTAATCTCTAGCATGTGCTCAGAGATCTACCTTTTAAAAGGCTGTATCATTCTCTCTACACCGTCACGTTCAGCCCCAGTAGAAAAGCTGTGTAGTTTCTAGTGAGAGCTTTGTGCTGTGACTGCTGTGGGTTTAAGGCTTCCAGTCTGCCTTCCGCAGGGAAGTCGCAACGGGCCGTCCTCGCCCACGGCGCTGGCCCTGGCAGCACTACGACCCCGGCACACGCCTCTGGGGTTACTGCAACGCCACTGCCCACGTTCTGGAAGACGCCAGAGGAAGTACCTTCTTTGTCCTAACGAGTCATTAACATTGTGTTCCAGAGTATTTTCTAGCTCAGGAATTTACCTAACTGAGGAGTGAAATTAATAACTTTTTTTTTTGGTCACTTTCTTTGATGTTGCTGCAAAAGTTTTTTGGTTGTACGGAAAGGTGGGAGAAATTGCAGTGTTGCTTCTCAGAATGCTTCCTCTAATGTAGTTCTACATTGCTATTCATAGCAGTTCAGTTCTGTGTCACAGATCTTACGTAAAGTATCTTTCTCGTAAGTGTTCCCAATCTTGATATGCCAACTCCCCATTGTATCAAATGTCAGCCTATCTTGGAAAGAGGGCCCCTTATAATATTGATTTTTTTGCAGAGGCCTAAGGGTAGACAAGTTGTTGTTGGGATCATCTAGCAAGTACATGGCAATGGTATGAAAACCAGAACTTGGCTCTTAAGATTTTTATTGTAGTGCTTTGGCAGGAAGATCATCCTTCCCTCTGCAGAGAAGGTCAAGAGAAATGAAGTTCTTCATTTCCCCATACCTCTTGCAGCTGACCCTTGTGCTGCTTCAGTCAGTAGGATTTATTTCTTCACTTAAATAAGGGACCACTGGAGACAAGGTTCCTTGTTTCACTTGCGTCTTTCCGAGTGGATTGTACTCACCCCCTGTGCAAAGCTTAATTTGTCTTGTTTCCTTCCCACGTGGCAACCTGTCAAGATGGCACAGCCTTTGCTGCTCTTGGGAGTCGTACTGCTCCGTGTTGCACGTGGGCTAATCGTTGTAGAGATAGATTGTACTGTCCAAGACCATGATGAATTCTTTGTTGTTGCCATAAAGCATTGCTTCGGCCTCGCCCAGTAGACAGTGCTATTCCGGAGCACTATTAGTAGAAGAGGCGATTAGTGTGTCTTTAAGTGAATGGTGCCACTGGGAATGGCATGTTAGGCAGGGCAGCTGCAAGCTCGGCCTGAAACACGACCACCCTTGAAACCCTATCTCTACTCCACTGACCCATGCAGGCTGACTTCATACTGTTGACTGACTGTGCAGGTTGCGTCAATGCCTGAAATGTAACTGCTTCCTGGCAGCGGGGCAGATCCTGCCTGTATGACTGATAACGTGTTTCTCGAAGCAGGGGAGAAATTGCATTTACGCATCTCTTCTGTGGCTGACCACGGAGGACTGAACTCGGCGGGTCCCCCTCGTGCATGTGTCCCGGGTTACCCGAGTGGAAAGCGTTCGCTTTCCTCTTCGTGCTAAATGAAGGTCTGGGGGGTTCCAAACAGCTATAAAAAAATGAAAATGTGAGATGACGTTTCCCAAGGATGCTTCCCAACAGAGTCTGTTATCTGTGGGGTGGGAGAATCCCCTCTCAACTAGGATTTCCCTGCAAAACATGCTTCCAAGCGTTACGCTCCCAAAGTTTTAGGCAGGATAGTCTCCTCTTCGTGACAGATGAAGCTGGGTCCCAGCAGCTCATTTACTCTAGCTTTATCCCTTGCAATCACAACTGTCTGCCCGTGCAGAGCTTCACCTCGTGCCCCTTGGTCCAAAACGCCCCACGAGATGGAGCTCCCTGGAGCAAGGGGAGGCTGTGCTGCAGCGCCAGGAAAGCATTTCTCGAGGACCAGCCTCTCTTCTTTTGCTAAGTCCCTGCCACTGCTACAAGGCACAGCGGGAGAAGGGGGTGACCTTTTTGCTTTTTTTGTGCTGGGTGAAAGTCACTCTCCTGCAGGAGCGCAGAGCGGTGCGGAGCCCCATGTGTGGCTGGAGCTCGCCACGATAAGCTGGTTGTTTTTCCCCTCTCCTTTCCCTTCCTCGCACTGCGCCAGGCTTATCTGGGTGCCTGAGTTATGTTAAGTAGCGGGTGCGTGCTTGCTCTCTGTTCTCCTCGCTGCTTTTGCTCCTTGGATTTCAATTCCAAACATGGTTATCCATTTGGGGTCTCTCTCCTTTCCGCTGCCAAGTGATACACATTCCACACTCAACACCAGCTCTCTCCGCTGCTCTTTCACGGTCGCTATTTCCATTTGCCGGAGGGCAGGCGAGAGAGGCAGTGCAACGAGATCTCTGTCCTGTCTGCAAGTTTTCCAGCTAATGGCCTCTACTCTTTCTTTCACTGAGCTCTTTTGGCCTCATATTTGCCAGCTCCTTTTCTCACTGGTGTGGCTAAGGAGGGGGCCAGCCACCAGTTTGTGAGCCACAAAGAGGAGAAACGAGCCCTTTTGGGATTTTTCGGGTGCAAAAACGTTCAGCAGCACTTTAACATGTCGCTCTGAAGCGCGCTGCTGTGGGACCAGCTGGCGCTCAAGAGGAGGAGGAGGAACAGCTACCCAGCAGCTCTGGTTTCAGACCTCTGCAGCACCCTTTGTGTATGACAATTCACTTTGAGCGCAGGACGGCCAGGGAGGGTGGGGAGTGGGGAAGGATGAGTGCAAGCAGCCTCTCCTGGGACCAGGCTGTTCTCCAGCCTCCCGTGTGTGATGCCTGGAAGGAGATTATGGAGGGAGCAGCCTACCAGCTGGCCAGCTGCATCGTTCTCCTGGGTTACATGGGGGGAAGTGGCATCTTTGGGTCCCTCTATATCTTTGGCCTCCTGGCCCCAGGCTACTTCTGCTATGCTCTGTGGGGCTGGCTGAGTGCCTGCGGGCTGGACATCTTCGTCTGGAACATGCTGCTCGTCCTCACCTGCTTGCTTCAGCTGGCTCACCTGGCTTACCGGCTCCGCAGAGACACCATCCCGGAAGAGTTTGACCTCCTCTATAAGACCATGTACCTGCCCTTGCAGGTGCCCCTGGAAGTCTACAAAGAAATCGTGAAGTGCTGTGAAGAGCAAGTCCAGTCGCTAGTCAGAGACCAGAATTACGCGGTGGAGGGCAAGACGCCCATTGACCGCCTCTCATTGCTGCTGTCTGGCAGGTAAAGGCTCTCCTGTTTCTGAACACAGTCTGACAGCAAAGCGCTGTGGCTTATTGTTCTCTTTTCACGCTCTGCAGAAACTGGGGTGAGGATTGTTTCCTTCCTCTGAAAGGGCTTTGAGATATGCATCTGTTTGTTGGGGAGAGGGGTAATTTGCTTTTGGGGGTTGTTTTTGTTTTCTTTTGTTTTTCTAAATTAGAATATTTCAGGCAACAGTTTGCAGAATCAAGCTATGTACAGTGAAGTGGCCAGCTCAGCCTTGCCTGTGGTACTGTTGGGGAATCCTTACCTCTTTCTCTGTCATTTTAAAGCGATCTTATTTCTGATGGGAGCAGGCTGGCTGTGAGAGTGTTTCTCAAGGCAGGAAGGCAGTATTTATGGACCTGTGGTCTCTGGGGCTACCAGGCGCACCTCTGTGGTGTGAACGGCTGTGCACTGAGTACGCTGAGTCCTCAGTTCACCTGCTCCCCCTGGCCAGCAGTGTTCAGGGAGAGGTTCCACCCCTGTTCCAAACACCTCAACCCTCAGGGGTCTGAAACTTGTCACTCTGAGGGTCATTTCGTCAAAAGAGAGAGCGATCTCCTGTGGTGGATCCTGCCACATCAGGCCTCTTTCTTTCCCTGTGCTGTCATGCATTCATGATGTTCCTTCCTCTGGACCACCACGGAGGACCTCAGGGACCTCTAGATAGTCGCACTGGGGATTTGATTATTGAGTGAACTGTGCTGATGAAGTACTGGCGTTTTGTCCACCTGAGATCCTGTGGCATGCCTTTATGAGCATCTCTCTTAATGATTTGCAAAATCCAAATGCATACAAATAGTAATGACATTGGCTTCCCAGCTGCTGCCAGGCACTTGGCACTAATGTCAAGTGAGAGTGGGAAAGGAAGGAGATCTGTAAATGGGAGCGGTGCTGAGCTGTAGGAGGTGTGTCTCACAAGGATTTTCCTTTGGGAAGACAAACCCAGCATCACCTGGGGCTCGTGTTTTACTGCGCTGGTCCATCCTCTCTGGTGAGGGGGTGTGTAAAGAAGAAGGTCTGTCCCTCCTTTTTTTTTTTTTTTTGGTGTTTGTCCCTTTTCTAGGATGTGTTAAGAGCATCCTGGGATCACTGACCAGTGCTGCATGGCAAAGCACTGGGAGGAAATTGGGTACGTGTGTTTCCGTTAGGTGTCTTTCCCCTCACCAAATGTCTGTGCGGAGCAGCTTGCTCTGAAGTTTACCATATCTGCAAATAACGTTAGTGGGGAAGAGTCTGTGCTGTCTTGCCCTGCACTGGATAATCTGATGCTGCTCTGTGGGCTTGAAAGTGCCGCAACGGAGAGTAAGCCAGTGCTGGTGGGGTAGTTGTTCTGCTCTCTTTTGCAGTGGGAAGTATGCATCTTGGCTGGCATAGGATGCCCTATGGAGATGGGATTGGATTTGCATTTCCTGGTACCCACTCTATTGCCTTGTGAGGTCCTTGCTGACCCAGCAGAGCATTGCTACTGTTATGGTGCCCCCTCTTAAACTGAACAATAGCAAGACAAGGGGGGCTTGGAAATGCAGAATGTGCCTGGATCAGGCAACCTGCTTCGCGATCCCTGACCCTTCCAGGCAGCACTCCCAGCTGACTGGAAGCCAACAGTATAACTCCTGAAAGCAAGAATTGCCTTTGTGCATCATACAATGGGGGAACGTGGCGACAGAGAGGCAAGAGGCCCCAAACCTGGTGGCGGCAGAGCTACAAACAGAGCTCCTCAGTGCCCTGCTGTTGCCCCAGGCCTGTGCAGCTCTCCTTCTCTGTTCCCACAGCAGAGCTGGGTGCAAGTTTGACCTTGACATTGATAGGCAATTGTAGCAAAAGTAGGGGAAAGGGATGCTTGGGAGGCCAAGAGACATTGAATGGTAATGTGCAGCAAACTATGAGCTCGCAGCGCGATGTGTCAGGAAAGATGGCCAATGTGATTTTTGGGGGTTCTGGGTGTAACAGCTTCCCAGCATCGAGGCAGGGAATACCTTCGTGCAACCCTGGGGACAGGAAGAAGATGCAAGTACAAAGAGCCACACGCTGACTTAGAAGTACCTGAAAAGCAGCAGCAGTCTTGTGGGCTGAGAATTCCTGGTTTAGGACCAAGCATTACACCTGTGAGGGCTGGCTTTGTAGCAGGAAACAGAAAACAGATGGAATATGGGGAAGCGGCAGCAAATGTCATTTCCCCCAGAGAAAGGAGGGACAGCCCCATAGACTGGAGCATCTGCAGCTGTCCCGGAGAAGGTATGAGACATGCGTGAGATGAGGAGGAGTCCTTTCCTCCCTGGTGGGACTGGCTGCCTGCACACTGTGTGAGCTAATCAGGTTTGTGTGACATCTATTTTGTGACCTAAGCCTGTGCGCCTCCACCTGTCCTCTCTGCAGGGTCCGAGTGAGCCAGGATGGACAATTCCTTCACTACGTATTTCCGTACCAGTTCCTGGACTCTCCAGAATGGGAGTCGCTGCGACCCTCTGAGGAAGGAACTTTCCAGGTAACCCGGTGCGGCCCCGCAACAGCCCAGCTTCGCTCCTTGCTGCTTCGTTGCCTGTCTGAGAAGGGGATGAAGGGGGCTCATTACGCCATTCAAAGCTAACCGGGAATACTTTCTTCCCCTTCCTCGTGGTTTAGCCAGCACAGGACGGTGTGATCAGCTGTGTTACCTTTTTTTTTTCCTACCTTCCTCTGAAGACCTCAGTGCGTGCTCCTACTATCAGCTGATAGGAGCGAGGGTGGAGTGTGATGCTCCTTCCAGTTTAGCAGGGAGACGAGGTATCAGATTGCTGGCTCTCTTCCATTACAGCGTTCCCTAGTACCTGTATTGATGCATTTGCCCTGCATGCTGCTAGCAGGGTTCATCATTCCAGCATCAGGATGGCAGCTGTGGTAATATGCAGCAGTGATGTAAATCCATAAATATCCTGTTCCTCACAGAAGTTTCTGATGGTGATGTGTTTGGGGTGGAGAAGCAGAAAGGAGGATTCATACCCGAATATGGTTCTTTCTGAGCAGAAGAATCCCTTGCTGAGAGGCCAGACCAATTCTTATTTGCAGCAACTGAAAGGATTTTGCTCTTGCTGTCAACACTCCACAGTATTTGTTTGGCTCTCCTTCTGGAGGAGATTACTTAAGCCCACATCTCTCTGCCTTTAACTCACATCCCAGGACAGGCTGATCCCTGTCAGGATGTCAATCTAGAATATGTCAGTTAGGGCATATGAGGAGGGATTTTGCTAATCCCTTGGGAGCATGGGACAGTTATGAGGGAATGGTGATGCTTTCTCATGAGGGCAGCCACGTTCAGACTTGGTTAAACCAGGGCAGCTCTCTGAATCTGCTTTCCTCGGGTCTGAATTTGGCCCATGTGTGAAAGGCTCACGGCGGTCGCTCCTGAAAGCTATGCCATCACCAGTGATTACAGCCTTGCAAGAGGAACAGTTGCAGGAGATGGCTGACCGTGTGACTGTGGCACAGGGCTACAGCTCGTCAGCAGAAATAGGGATGTCGGGGCAAGATAACGGGGTAGAGAGGGCAACAACAGCATGGTTGTGCTAGGGGTGGGGGTATCTCATGTTTTGCACAGGGCTTCAATCCGGCAGCAGATTGCTGCTAGCTCCTGGACTGTATTTGCCTAAGAGTCGAGCAGAGAGAACAACAGCTGCCCGGTGCTCCTGGCAGGGAAATGGCCGTCTGGATGGCATGCAACCTGCAAAGACATCTGCAGCGTTTTCTGAGCTAATTTCTGTGGAACTGAATGTTCCCAGACCTCCTGAGTGTCTTTATCTGTGGTGCGTGAGACAGCTCGGGAGCAAGCTGGTGCCAGGCTGCACCAGCCCTGACAGTATCACACTCTTGGCCCCTCTCCTGCTCTGCGAGAGAGGGCTGGTCAGGGAAGTCGGCTGCGCCTGGCACCAGGATGGGGAGGTCGAGTCCTAGGTGGGGAAAGGCTGCAGCCATGTGCTGGAAATGCCTAAAACCCACGTCTGCTTACTGAGGAGCATGAAGAAGTAGTAGCCTGTGTGAGAGCAGCATTCAGCAGGTGAGACTTGACCAGTCCATGTTCCTGGCAGGACATTACTCTTGATGGCCGTGCTTAGCCATGGTGATGTGCTGCTTTTGGCAGCTGTTTAACCCACTAGTCCCTCTTACCTGAGTAGTTAATAAAACTCTGTGGCATATCTCAACCTTATTCCTAGCATCACAATCATTTGGTTAAAAAAGTGCCTATTTGACTCTGGGACTTTGCTGGAGGAGGACATGGAAGGTTTTTCTTGCCCAAGTTTTCCCCATGGCTCTCTGGATTGAGCAGTTTCAATCCTGAGCCCACCGAAAAATGGCAGAAGCATGACTTGGTCTACAAGGAGAGCCAGTTTCCTTGAGCTTTCTGCTTTGGCTGGGTCTTCTTCCCACAGGACTGCTAGCTCTCGGTGCCTGAAGGAGTTGGGTTTCAGGGCTGGCATTTCCCCTCAGAAAGCTGAATTATGGGCTCTGCTGATGCCGGAGCACTTGTGTCGGGGGGATTCATGACTGAAATCTGTCCTGCTGCTTTGGTTAGGAGGCAGATTTCCTTATTACATCTTACTTAATCCCTCATGAGAAGCAGAGGCTTTCGACTGCTGTGCCAGCAGTTGGTTAGGGAAATGAGATTCTGGTCATTTCAGTTTTCGTGTGACCCTTCCTCTCGCTCACCTCGTCCTGGGAAAGTTCTCAGGTTTTATCTCCTATATTTCTTTCATAAGGCAGCTGCTTGCATGGCAGTGGCATTAAATATCAAACCCAAGGACACACACATGCAGCCAAGCCGTGTTCAGCTTCCCAGTGGCCCTCTGCCATGGTGGCTGGCCAAGGAGACCCCTGGATATAGAGTGAAAGGGAGCCCCCGGGATATTTTGGCTCCGGCTCTTGTTCACATGTCGGTGTCTCCGTTACACTTGGATGTTCTTCTTTGGCTCAAGGCAGTTTGACCCTTCCTGTGTTTCTTACCTTTTATTATTATTAAATTTATATATTACAATATACACTCATGTTGTATAATGTTTTTTTATTATTTATAGTCTGATCTTACAGCTAGGGGGACAAATGGCTCTGTTTGCATTGCCAAAACCCAAAGCAAAACGAAGTGCTCTCTAAAATCAACCCAATAAAACCTCGAGTGAGCTCCCTACCTACACACAAACACAGTAAACCCCTTTTATTTCCTCTCTCACTGAGCTGTGCCATGCATCCTTCAAGGCCATTCGGCCCTACAGCGCCTGGCAGAGCTCACGAGACAGGATGTCCCTCTGGCGCAGGGTGACCAGGCAAGCCTTCCAGGTGGCCCTTGCCATACCCAGGGCCTTCTTGGAGCAGGGGGTGTGCGACCCAGCGGCCGGACAGGGCGGCAGCCTGCTGCAGGGCTACCCACTGGTGACCTGGGCCAGCTGGGCACACAGAAACACTTCCCTCCATAATGTTTCTGTAGAGGGATAAGGCCATCTATGCCACGCAGCTCATTTCAGCTACAGCGCTCAGGTGTCAACAGGGAGCAACATCTGAAAGTGAGAGGGTGAAATGTAGCTAGTCATGTGGCTACATTAAGCAAGGGCATGCTGCTAATTGCATAGGAAAATCTGGTTTTTGGCTCCTTGGGGAGAGGAAGCAGAGGCGGGTCAGGACTTATCTGATTGTTTGGTTTGGGCAATCTGGCTCTCCAGCCCTGTCATGTCCAAGGAGAGCAAGGCGTCAAAGGGGCTGGGGTCCTTAACTGGAGAGCAGCACGCAGCCCCGAGGCTGGTGACCCCTACCCGGGTGGTAGGGCTTACTCTGCTCCATCCCTGCCCCACAGGTCACGCTGACGGCCGAGACCGACTGCAGCTTCATCACCTGGCCGAGGAAGAAGCTGTATCTCCTCCTGAGGAAGGACCGCTATGTTGCCCGGCTCTTCTCCTCCCACCTGGGCTACGACATCTCAGAGAAGCTCTACTCCCTCAACGAGAAGCTCTTCGCCAAGTTCGGCCTTCGCTTCGACATCCGCCTGCCCAGCCTCTACCATGTCCTCGGGCCAGCCTCCTCCGAGGGGGAGTCAGAGGACTGCGGAGCCACCATGCCTCTGGCCAGGCTGGTGCCTCCGAGCCGCCTCCGCAGCCATCATCACCGCCGCCGCCGGCTCCACGGCCCCGGGCATCTCGGCCTGACAGTGACCTGCTGGGTGAGGACTCCACCAGTCTTGTCTTGGAAGATTTTGCTGAGTTGCCGGGGTCTTTTATGGACTATGTGAGCGAAGGGGAGTATATGAAGTGAGGGCACTGCTGGCACGGGCACGCCTCACCCTGTGTGGGACCCCTGCGTAAGTACCCGCTTGCGGAAGCAAGTCCTTCCCGCGATGCAACTGCCTGGGCAGAGCGACGGCCCCCAGCCTCTCGCCCTCATTTGCCGTGGGTTTGCTCCTCCGCAGTGTTTTTTTGCCTGCTGCCCCAAGGAATCCCGGGAGGTGGGCTCCAGCTGTGTGATTTTCTTAAGGAAAAGCAGCAGGGTTGGAGGCTTGACTCCAGGCGCCAGCCGCACTGTGGGGTGGAAGGGAGGGTAACCCAGCCGTAGGAAGCTCTCCCCTGCCTTGTCCCCTCTCCATCCCTCAGGGGAGGCAGAGAAACCAAAATGGTGTCCAGGCTGGCAGGTGGTACACTAGTGCCCACGGAGACCCCACAGGGCTCGACCTGGCTCGCCGTGAGGTAGCCTGGAGATAGCCCAGTATTGAGCTGAGGAAGACATCTGCGTGTGAGAGAGCAGACAACCCTGGATACGCTGACAGGGGTAGGAACAGCTCCAGGGTTTACGGCGGATTGATAGTGGGGATTTGCTGTACACCTTGCAAGTGCTCAATCTGGGCAGGGGGGGAAAAGCTCGTAGTCCTTCCTCCCCCTGCCCACCGCAGCTCATCCCAGCATTTGCTCTGTCCTCCTTTTTGCTGCTGATCTTTGGCTCAGCCGGATTAGTAAGGTATCGAAAAGACTACCCTGTGTGGTATAGCTCTTGCCTCCAATGACCCTGGGTGGACCGACAGACTAAATAAACATTGTTCTAACACACCTCAAACTCTGCTTTCCAGTGAGTGGGAATGAGATGCTCTCTTCCAAAATGCCAACTCTTTACTCTTGCAAGGGAAAAATCCCTGGCCTGGTGGATATTGGGGCAGAGGAGCAATGCAGGCGAACAGAAATAGACGGGAGGGTGGCTCATGAAATGCTTGAAATCCAAGTGGCCAAGAGAGAAATTCCACGCTGAGCTACTTTTAGCCAGCCGCTGCACGCCAGCTGCTGCACCCCAGCTAAAGTTCCCTCCCTGCCACTGCCCCATAATAGCTGCTTTCTGGCATCCAGCTGCCAGACACCAAGCCTGAGACTGGGATTTCTGTCCTAGAAGTGACCACTGCCTGTGTACCAGTTGTGTCTGCATGGCAGGGAGGAAGTTGCAGGGCTGGGCTGCAGGTGGGGAGACCATCTTCCAGCAGGCATCCTTGAACACAGTGCACCATCGCACCCTGGTCTTCCCTGCGCCCTACTTCTGGGCTGCAAATGCTTGGGCTGCAGGGAGCACGAAGCAGGACACAGTGAATCCTGGCACGAGCGCTGACAAGTCTGCAGTAATCTTCCCTACCCTGTAGTGCTTCTGCACAAGCCCCACCGCTGTGACAGCAAGGGGACCGTCCCTCCTAGCTGCTCTAAATGAAAAGGCTGTCTGGGTCAGACAGCACTTGCTATTTGCAGTAGGCCTCTGGTGGAAGAGGCCTTTTTTTCTGTTTTATCCAGTTGCTGTTCTTAGTTTTTGAAAACAGTTCTGCTCTGAGTTGAGTCACGTGCCTGTTCCTGTACTGCTTCCATGCCTCCAAACTTAAAATCTGGGATATGAATAAACTGGCCAGGGAGGGAACAAGTGTATTTGGGTTTGCATGAATCAGATAAAAAGTCAGCAGGAGTTTTGCTTAGTTTTTTCTTAAAAAAAAAAAAAAAAAAAGGAGACAGCGAGAAAAAGAAAAAAAATCCTTATTTGTTTTCTAGCTTAGAAGTCCTAGGAATGTGAAGTCCCTGGTTTTGCTGGTAGACTGCTGGCAATATGAATTTTCAGCTTTTTCAGTCCTTACTTGGAGAGAAAGGAATACTGAATCATTTATGAGACAGCCATCCTCCTAACTGTCAGGCATGTCTGTTGAATAGATGCAATCAAAAATGAATGCAGTTAGTGTTGTAAATGTGGTGAAGTCACTTTGTCTAGGCTTTGCTTGTATTTTGTCTTCTCAGCAGAAGGAAATTCATTCTCAGGTCATTGGCAGAATTCTCCTGGTTGATCAAGCTCAATAAAATCAGAATTTCAAATGCAATTCAAAAAGGAAGGAGGCAAGGAACACCGTAGCTTTTTTTGAATTATTTCCACCTGTTTTTGGTAATGAGTCAATACTGTAAACCTACACACAAGAGGTGTGTGTGTATGTGTGTGTTGGGGAAGGCTTGTGCTACGCAGCACAAAGCTATTCTTTCTTTCACACAATTCTTTTAAAACATGGTGGAAGCTGGAAGCTTTTGTCTTTCTAGATCTTGTGAACGAGGTAGTATCGAGGTGTGCTGATACTTGCAGTAGAGACCTGCAATAAAAGCCCAAATGTTTCAGAGGCCAGTATTTGGGGTGGGAGAGGAGGATGATCTTCCTCGTCTGTCAGTCTGGAGACAATAGCCAGTGTGGTATTTTAATTTCTAAGGTACTTAAACAAGGAAACACAAACTCTGTTTAGTGTGTCCATAACAGTGGAACGAGCGCTTCCTTGTTACTCCGCTCACCACTGGGGTGTCCTAATCACATCACGTCCCAGCAGCACAACAGCAGTTGTCACACCCGGACAGTATGCCACAGCGACTTGAGTGCCTAACCACAAAAATTAGTGATACAGAGGGACTGCGGTCTTCCCTTCTGGCCAGGTACTTGTCACAGCTCAGCGGATGATCTGAGCAGGTCTGCCATGGCCCAGGGAAAGCAATTTCATAACTTTTCCCTTAGAAGTGGTGAAAACATCCTTAGTAAACAGATATATTCCCTGCAGCGTCATTGTTCAAAGTAAGGATAGCTGCAGTCCCAGCGATCAGAGCTCCCCTGAGGCTTTCCCCAGGTCTGTGCTCTCATCTCCTTTCCCAGCAGCTTCCAACCTGGGTAATCACCTTCCAGCTCTCTAAATTCCCCATGCTGAAGTGCTTCTATGGATCACGTTCCTTTTCATTTTCTGTCGCTGCAACGGCCACCTTGCAATGCCACACTGCAGGAGGGCAATTCTCGAATGCCCAAAGTGCTGCAAAGATCATGCAGAAGAAAATATTCCTGGGAGATATATTGGCCTACTAGTCTTATCATCTAGTTCCTTGAAAGAGTTTCTAGTCTGCTTACAAGCAAGACAGACTGTGATATCCCACTGATGAACACATTCTTTCTCTGAGTAGGAGAGATATTTCAGTAGCTTACAGGCTGCCTGTGTAAAAGAGGCAGGTTCAAAGGTTCTGTTCAAAACTTGCTTTAACAGTGCACTGCTGTATAGCTCAATGCTCCATAGCAAACTAAGCTTTATTCCTTGCATGAAAATTTGAACAACCAAAAGCCGCCTGCTTTTTCCCCTTTTCATACTGCATTTGCTCTGGTTCATTGCCATCAAGTGCTTGCACGATGTGGAGCTGCTGCTACTTGGTTTTGTACAGTTACATCTGGGGGCTGGCTTTCTATCCGGTGGGTGAAGCAGATGGATGGATGCTTGATGGCCTGTAGCTTGGTATCTAAGTTAGTAGGAATTGGTTTATACACACTTTGAGAGTAAAATCAAAGGAGTTCTGGGCTTTTAACTGATATTACAGATGGTGCTTTGGAGGAGTTTGTTTTTGCTGCCTCAGGATGGGTGGGTAACTCCATTTTCTGAATTATCACATGTTGAACAATTGCAGGTTTTGCATGCTAATTTAGGAGGGGAGGGGAGAAGGACAGGTAACGATGGGCTCCATGAGGTTTGTGTCTTGGGAAAGTTTGGAAGTAAGAATTATTCCTGTGATAATAATGGTGCTCTCTTTCTTTCTCTCTCTCCCCGCCCCCCGCTCTCATTTTCCTCCTGCAGCCTCTGGAAACCTTCTCCGGAGTTCCCCCCACCCTCCCTGCAAAGGACGAGCCCCTCTGGCTCCCACTCAGACCCCCGAACTCTAGGGAACAACAGTCTGTCTTGATCCTGAAGCCCCTCCGAGGGAGCATAAGCTCACATAGGTTTCTGACCAGAGAGACACTCTTTAGCAAGCACTGAGACGTCTGCCTGCAGACATGAACACTCGGGAGCACATGAAGCACACGCGTGAGACTGCAGTGTGACACTCCAGCACCTCCCACCCCACGGTTGTTCACCAGAGCTGCCTGCCCCAGTGTGCTTCCCCGGTTTGTTTTCTAGTCCTGCCTCTCTGAGGTGTGTCGGCAGCTCTGATACCAAGGTACACCGATGTCGCTGCAAGCGATACCAGCCTGCTCGCAGAATCTGTGTTCCCTTTGATTTTATGATTCCCATTAAAGTCAGAGATGAAACTACTGGTGTTTGAGGATTTGGAGAGGGAGATAACACCATTTGAAAGGCTTGAGGTGATCTCAAGGCACGGGTGGGAAAGGACAGGGGAAAATGGGCTGCCTGATGGCTTTGGTAATGGGCTTGTAATGGAGAGTATGATATGGAGATTTGATATCATGCATCCCACTGGGCATTAACTGTAGTAAGACCAGAAATTCCTTTTCCGGGGGTTAGGATTTCTCATTTATGACAAGCACCACTTCTCAAAGAAGTTACGAACGTCTGGTGAAAGGTCGGTTGTTTGAGTTGATTCATGTGGAATAAAAAAGGGGAGGGATTGGGACTGGGGGCAGGTGTAGGCAAAAAGGGGGGCCTGAACCCTTTTTTTTTTTTTTTTTTGTGCTCTGTGCTCGATGGGGGATGACCTCAGGGTGCACACACCAAGTGAAGAAATGAGTGAGTACAAAACATCTCTGTGGAGACCAGCCACTGGTAGGAAGAAGTGCAGTATCTTAGATGAAAATAGTGTGGAGATGGAAGGCCTCTTCCAAGTTCAGCTGCAACAGGCTGACAAGCTTCCCCAGCCATTTCCCCTGTCAGAGAATCAGAGATGGCAGTCCTAGTGGAGGAATCCTCTGTTCCACAGAGCCTGGTGCAACCAAGCTGGGCAGTGAGGGTAACTGTTTCCAGGGTAGATATCCAGGGGAGGAGCAAGGAATGTCAATCCCTCCGTCAGCACGCACAGGGCAGGGCATTCTTCAGTGTGTCTTGGCACAGCCACGCAGGGGCATGGCCATCCTGCGGTGTGGGGCTGGCTCTGTGTCAGCCCCGGGCTGGTGCAGGCAGCCCTACCTGCCTTGCGCTGCTCGCACAGGGGCTATGGCCCAGAGACCACTTTGGCGTGTCTTGCAAGTCTCGGCTGGGCGAGATCTGTGCCCTCGGGATCTTGCGCTCTTGCTGAGGTCTGGAGAGGCCTCTGAAGTGGTGGGTATGTGGGATCCACGGCGTACACTGCTCCTTGTGCTGCTCGCCTTTGCTGTCACCCCAGGGCAAGAGAACAGGGCTGCCCCAGGCGTGGGGATCATCTTGCTAATGGTTGTCACCATGCTCTGTTGCTGTATTCTTGCTTCAGCCTGACCCCATTGCCTTTCACAGCTAGGAAATGTCTCCAGCAAATTAACAAGAGAGCTGCTGGGGTCCCTTCTGCAAAGGAACCTAAATGCACAATGAAACTACGTCTATTGTGGTGCTTTATACACCTCCCTGAAGTAGTGGACCAGGTTGGGCTGAATTGCACACTGCCCT